AGATATTGAAAAAATGGTATTTAGCAGAGATAAGATAGTCCAGCAGTCCCGGAATAAAATAATTCAGACTCAGAGAGTCCATGTGTGATTAAAATATAAAGTTTTTACTAAATTCTAGCATGGGAAGGGTAACTGGGATGAAAATAACAACAGAGCAAAATCGGCTACATCCTTACTCTACAAAGACAAAACTAGAAGAGAGAGATTATGGCTATTCTTCTTCTTCAGAACACCAAACAAAGATGGGAAGAGAAGCCATAAAATGCTAATACACCTTGACACTTTAGTCCCAATCAAATTCCTAGATTAGGGAGAAAATTCCCGGGTCTTCTACAGCTAAAGAACATTGGTTACATGAGAAACATGTGACTTCCTGTGAGTAACATAAACAAACATTTAACCCCAGATATACTGAGTGTTTTCAACTTGTAATACCCAACAAGAGTTAACTGAAAAATGGAAAGATCGCCCCATTTGCAAACACAGGAATGGCAGGCACTTTCTAGCATTTTTTCCCCCCCGATCTATGAAGCTTCCCATGCATCTGATTTGGATTAATTATTATTTGGACTTTTAGGCCACCCTTCCCTGCGAGCAGGGCTCAGGGACGCTTACAACAGAATGAGACAATAAATAAGTTAAAAACAATAATAAAATGCAGTACGGAATCAATAAATAAGCCAGGCTATTCCAAGATAGCGAGGAATCACCACAGAAGATTGATGTTATGCTCTCATGCAACACACCCGCCAGCAGTGGTTCTGAATGGGACACGCCAAAACATCTGCACTCATATTTAACAAGCTATCCTCTCTGCAGTACTGCTAGCCTAGACTTACAGGGCAATCCTAAATACAACCAGGGGTCATTTCCTGCAGGAGCGCACAGGAGCGGAGCTCCGGCAGTAAAGAGCCCAGGGGGCGGGCACATGCAACAAGCCCCGCCCCCTGCTCCCAGCAGCCCTCAGTCAGAGGAAGAACAGGTAAGTTGCAGAGCTCCCCCCCCCAGCCCCCCAGTCCAAAACAGTCCAGTGGCACCTTTAAGACCAAGTTTTATTCAGGCACAAGCTCTCCCTCCTCTGCGAGGACAGATCTGCACGTGCCTCCTGCCACCCCCAATAGCTAGCAACCCAAAACAGTGCACTGGAGCCCGAGTGGTGGGTGTTGCCTTCTGACACACTTCCGGTGATGTCAGGGGGTGTGGCATATGCAAATGAGTTATGTTAATTAGTTATGCTAATGAGCTCCTGCACCTCTTTTTCTATGAAATGACCCCTGAATACAGCCATAACCTTCTACGCACAAAATGGCCTTAGAAGGGTATAACTGTTTAAGGTTCAACCGTTTCTCTCTCGCTCTGCCTCCATTGACCTAGTATTGATCGGCTCACTGTGCCTAATAACCCTTTAACGTTCTGCTTACCTTTTAATTTAAATAGAGACCTCCCAAGAACAATTTGCAAAACCATCTGCAAAGGCCCACAAGCAGTGGTAAGCTAGAGGCCTCCCCTGTTGTTTATCCTTGGGATCATCAAAGGTGTAACTCAGGGGTGTCGAACTCATTTGTTATGAGGGTCCGGATCTGACATAAATGAGACCTTGTTGGGCTGGACCATGTGTGTCATAAAATGTAATGCTAGGTAGTGGAGATATAAACTTTATAAAGGACACAAACACAAAGGTTGTTCTTTTACTTAAAATAAAAACATGCTTAAAACATTAGCAGTCTGTCTGATAACAGACACCTCTTGCTCTGAATTACTGCATCAAAATGTCTGTGCTGTTGCAATCTTGAGTATGCTGTTCAGGCGTGTATCTGTAAGCTGCAAACCTATAACAATGCAGCAGCAGCAGAACTGGAAGAAGCAGCAGAAGACAGCCAGTTCCACTGCAGGCCTCATAGAAGCCCTCCGAGGGCCTGATCTGGCCCCTGGGCCACATGTTTGACACGCCTGGTGCAACTGCTTCTGAGCATTCAGGGTTCTATTTTACTACCACAGCTAATAGCTGTCAGAAGCAAGGATGAAGAATAGGGCTACTTCCCTTTTAAAGCTGTGCAAAAGAAAGTTAAGGACACACTTAAAAAAACAGCTTCAGATTGGCAGACATGAGGAGCAAGGCCAATTCAGTCCTAAACTTAATCAGAAAAATAGTGCCTAGTTGTTAAATTTTACATGCACTGGAATTCTGGATATTCCCATCTCTATCCCTTACCTGGATATCCCAGACTCACCCAATTTCATCAGAACTTGGAAGCAAAGCAGGGTTGGTCCTGGTAAGTACATGCATGGGAGACCACCAAGGAATACCAGGCAATAGTAAACTACCTCTGAATGTCTCTTGCCTTGAAAACCATATGGAGTCCCTATAAGTCAGCTGTGACTTGATGGCAAAAAAATCAAAGTACAAGCAATTTGCACCTGAGGTACATAAGTGCTCTACTGGTGCTTACAGTGACAAGCACGGGAGGCACTAAGAGAAGATATAAAGGGTTTGACTGGCATGTCCCCTGCATGCCGCAGGGCACACATTTCCCTCCCAGCATTTTGCAATAAACACCAGCATAACCAGGCTGCTTTGTAAAGTGGGTCTCCTGATTGGAAATTGGAATTTGGGTGACATTGGTGGTTTAAGTTGCAATGTGAACCTTAAGGGAGTTATGGGATGGTTGTGAATGGTTGTGTGAGTGTATGAGTATGGTTGTAGATCACCGAATGACTGCACCTTTAATTTCGTTGTACTATGTACAATGACAATAAAGTATATTATTATTATTATTATTATTATTATTATTATTATTATTATTATTCAACGAGTCTGCTGAGACCATCAAAATGAAGGTAAGTGCTCCGGTGGCACTCGAGGCATTTTGTCTAAGAATACAATTATTATCATTATTTATTAAATTTATAGACCACCCTCCCCAGTACAATGAGAGTATTAAAACAGTATTTAATACAATGAGAGTATTAAAACAGTTTTAAAAGAGGGAACTGTGATAGAGAGGAGAATATCTCCCCAAACCACACACATTTCCCCCCCCCCAGGGTGTTCCTTTCTAAAAAGGAAAATAAATCTGAAAAAAATCCAACAGCAATCAAAACCTGGAAGGACTGCAATGCTTACTGAGGAGTGCAGAAGACTTAACAGCTAGGTAACTTTTGCTCTGACAGAAAAATCTTTAAACTACAAACCATGGCTGATACATAAGCAAAGCCTAACAAAAGGACAGCTTTCTTTCTTGCCACCCTAACCAATAGTTTGCCCATTTTTGAGCTCATACAACCACCAAGTCAAAAAGCCTTACATTTTTAGTCTCTAAAATGATCTTCAAAGGTATCATCCTCTGCACATTTACTTGGAAGTTACTCAGTGGAACTTTCTTCCCTATAAACATGCACGGGAACTGCGTCTAACTATGCTTGTCTCCAGAACAACTTGCGAGACAAGCAGCACTACCTCCATTTTATAGACAGGTATGACTTTGGGGCCCGTTTCACAAGATCAAGTCCAGCTACTTTCTTACTGAAGTACCGCTAGACTATTGACAGGCATACACAACAGAATGCAGAGCACAGGTTAGAATGTTCGGACACTAGGACTTATCTCAAACACAGAAGTCACTTAATACACCTTCACGCCAATGGATCTGGATATGCTTTCAAATTACATAGTGTATTTCTGTGGCTCCTTACAACACGTAACTTATTAATTTGTATACAAATCTGAAAGACCAGTAAAATCAAAATATTAAACCCTCAGATATTAACAGCCTACACTGAACGTTTTCCACTTAACACATCAGGTGAATACACCACCTGATACTCGCTGGAAGCAAAAGAGACCGAAGTTGCACAGATTTCTTTTCCTTTTTGAGCACAGGCATAAACTTGAAGAAGTCAGAACATAACCCAGATATTCTGAAACAGGCCATTCTAATTAATGGCAGGCATGAAAGAATCCCCGCATCCATTACCACATCTCACCCAAAGAGAACACTCCTGTCTCTGACCAGATTTTTTTTTTGGGGGGGGGGGGTTGGATGTAGTTCTCCGTAAGCAAACAAGAGGCCAGTTTGCTGCCTAGGGTCAGTGTCGCCAACCTTGTTGACCATGTGTACACACTTTTGGAGTTTCCAGAACAGCAAATGGCCATCTCCACCAAGTAGCTGCCACGGAGACTAGGTGAAATTGCCAGCTTCTGGGAAGTTCCAAGCCAAGCATCCACCAGCAACAAAAATAACTGTATCTCTACAGGTGTTTCCTGAAGACAGAAAGGCGATACATCCTGGCCGCTTCAAAAACACCTACTGCTCCAAGGACACGAAGAAAAGCACAGATCAGCTCTTTCCTTTAAGGAAAAAAAAGTGCTTTGGGAAAGGTGAGCACCAGAAAACACACTAGTAGTACTGTACACCCCATGGTGCTCATGGGCAGTGTTCCCTCTAAGCTGAGTTAGTGTGAACTAGCTCACAGTTTTTTTAGCCTCCGGCTCACACATTTTCCTCTCAGCTCAGGAAGGAGGGCTCCAAAGCAAACTAATTGATGCAGTAGCCAAATCGCTCGCTCAGAACTTTAATGCCAGTACCTCACGAAGCAGAATTTTTGCTCGCAAGACTCCACAGCTTAGAGGGAGCATTGCTCTAGAGCAAACTAATTGATGCAGTAGGCAAATCACCCGCTCACAACTTTAATTCCAGTAGCTCACGAAGTAGAATTTTTTGCTCACAGGACTCCACAACCTTAGAGGGAGCATTGCTCACGGGCACCACCTTGGGGATCACTGACCTGGTACACTGAGTGAGAAGAGATGTTTGTTTTTCTTTATTATGACTCCAGTCACATATTCAAGACTTTTATTTTCTTTCAAAAGCACATTTCCCCCACTCCCCCAGAAATACAAAACAGCAGTCTTTCAACAGAGGCAAGTACTCTACCCTTAGCTGTCACTCATCTGGCCTTTCCCCGCCCACGTGAGCCCCACCAGCGCCGCCCCTTCTCACCTTAACATAAACAGAAACCTCCTCATCCTCCTCTTCAGCGTGCGCAGGCGTCAACGCCGCCGGGCTCGCCCTTGGGGGCACCTGGAGAGCGGCAGAGCTGGCGGCTCCCCCGGAGGAGGCCGCGCGGGCCGCCCGCCTCGGTAACCCCAGCAACCTCTGCACGCCCGCTAGGCTCCTCCAAGCAGCCATGGCCAACAAACCTAACCGGAAGCGGAAATGGGGCAAG